GCCACCTCCCTCGCCCCCACCTCCCTCGCCGCCGCCGCCCCACACCCCCCCCTTTTCGACCAGGCCAACTGCATCTCGCTGCTCTGCCGCTCGCAAAGTGTCGGATGCGAGCCGCTAGAGACGCGGTGCGTCGAGCGGTCTAGAACCAACTTTCCCCACACCTCCCCCACACCCGCCCACACCTCCCCACACCTCCCCACACCTCCCCCACACCTCCCCACACCTCCCCACACCTCCCCACACCTCCCCACATCGCCCCACATCTCCCCACATCTCTCCCACACCTCCCCCACACCGTCCCCACAGCCTCCCCACACCGTCCCCCACACCTGCCCACAGCTCGCCGACACCTCGGGCACACCTCCCCACACCTCCGCACAGGGCCGGACATCTCCCCACATCTCCCCACCCCGTCTGGGCCAGGCCGGCGCCAAGCCGGACGCGCAGCAGCAGATGGTCAAGAATGTGATGCGAGGCGCAGCGGTCGTCATCGTCCCCGCCACCGCCTGGTTCGAGTCGGGCGTCTTCATCTATTGGCTCACCGCAGCTGGGCCTGTGAACAGCGTCTCTTCACACCTCTAGCTGTGAACAGGCGTCTTCATCTATTGGCTCACCGCCAACGCGCTCGCCGTCACGCAGACGCTCGCGCACCTAGAAGCGGAGTCTCTCCCCATCTCTCCCCACATCTCCCCACATCTCCCCTTCCTGCTGCCGGCCGCCACGGCCACCCAGCCGCCCCTCTCTCCGCTTTGGCGACAGCTGACCCGAGAGGCCCCCCTCGGGCGCAGGCGGTGCACTCTCTCCCCTTCAGCTTTGGTGACGCGATCGTCGCGAGCCTGGCCGAGGTGTGCAGCGGAGATCTGGGGAGATCTGGGGAGATAGGGAAAAAGGGAAAGATATGGTCGCGAGCTTGGCCGACCCTTCCCCGACCCTTCCCCGACCCTTCCCCGACCCTTCCCCGACCCTTCCCAGACCCTTCCCCGACCCTTCCCCGACCCTTCCCGGACCCTTCCCGCAGGCGACCGCGCCCCGCCCCTCGGAAGGGAGTGAGCACGGCGCGCAAGTGGCGGGCCGTCGGGTGTGGGCAGCGCCTCTTCACACCTCCAGCTGTGAACAGGCGAGGTTGGAGGCGAGCCTCTGTCCGGCGCCTCCGCCGCCGCTCCTGTGCCACCAACCAGGGAGGCCCTCGGCGCTGGGCTCGGCCGCTCTGGCCGCAGCCTGCTCTCGCCGCCGCGTGCGCCGCCCTCGGGTCTTCCGCTGCCGGGCAGCCAGCACACTGACGACATGACCATGGCCGCCCTCTCCGCCAAGAACGCCGAGCTGCGGCTGCTGATGCAGCGCAACGAGCGGCTCGTCTCCGGCTGCCGCGAGGTGACTCATCTCGTCGACGAGGTTGAGACGCAGCCGAGATCAGCCGAGATCAGCCGAGGTGCAGCCGAGGTGCAGCCGAGGTGCAGCCGAGGTGCGGCCGAGGTCAGCCGAATGCAGCCGAGTGCAGC